TCTGAATAACCAAGCATATTTACTTATCAGGATAATGATTTTTTAAGACTAATACTTGAGCTTGGATGTCTAGACGTACAATAACAAGAAGCAACATCCGATATTGCTGTCATAGTGGCAAGAAGTGTTATCTGCAGTAAAATTATTTACATAGCAGATGAAAGTTCTATTCTAGAACATTTAGACCACTATTAGTATACGTTAACAAATTGTATACGCTAAACTACCGATAGCAACTAAAGTCTAGATTGATTTGGTTTTGGAGCAGTTTCACTTTAACTAATAAGTCATTATGACGAAATTTCTAGTAGAAATAGAGTATATTTATTAGTTCTGTAAAGATTACCGCTTTTTTTTTGGACTACCTGAAGAATATATGTAGAAATAGAATTAGTTTTATTCTATACCTGATATGAATTGATAATGAGAAAATGCTTTATGGCCATCTTGGTGATAGAAAAAATCTGTACTAATCGCTGAAATATCTATATCTAGCAATGTGCATTATAGTTATTATCCTAGCAAAATAGTCCGTTAATAACACATATTATGATGCTCTCATGGTCGATGATATTTGTAGAGCGCCAATAGTAGCTTTCCTAAAAATTTTATTATCTGAATGCTTATTAGCCGAAAAAAATAATACTAGACTAAAGATAGGCGGTAAATCAACTGAGTAATAGTAGATATATTTTGATATACAGAACGTGTATCTTATTTCAAATAGATTTATTGTCATGACTAAAAAGAATTAACTTAACTATGAATGATTATTAAATTATGTAAATCCTGAACTAAGGCTTGCATAGATTTAAATTGTTGAAAAATGAATCAGTGATGTTCGTATGCTTTTGAGATATGGCTATTAGCTCTTAGAATATATGCATAGATTTGATTCTTTTCATTATGTGTTTGCTTCAGATAAAATTAAGTAAAAGATCGTATCTATTATTAGTAGTAAATCCTCCGTATTCGATTTGAGATTGCAGATATAAGCGAAGAAGATTTAAAACTCTAATACAAGGTTTAATATAATGTCAATATAAACGATGTCCCCAAGATCTTATGTTTAATTAAGTAAAGTATCCTATTTGCGTGGATTCCAAAATAGCATTAGGTGCTAGTATTGGAATTAATGATTATTAGAAAATGCAACAAATACAGAGTACCACAAGAATAAGTAAATGAATAAAATCACCATAATACTTTACTACAGGATATTATAACGAATACATAAACGCATCCAATCATTATTGGTGTATAATGTTCACAGCTAGCCTTAATACTAGCTAGAGATAGATAAAAAAGAAGTCAAAATTTATTTTCATGTCTTCAGTTATCAATAGGATAGAGAGAAACCTGTTACTAAAATACGAATAAATACCTTTATAAAAACAGTAAAAGTGGATAGCATTGCATAAATCAAAGTTGAACAAATTAAATTCTACTAGAGAATACAATAATATAAATATAGTAATAATTAGTAAATGACCGCAATTAAGAGTAATTTACAGTAGGATTAACAAGATTCAAGCTCGTAATCGAATATCAGGAAATTTGAATATTTTTGAGACAATAGCGAAGTATTCATTTTAGGATTATCTTTTACCTTAGCAGGTGTTGTCTGAAAATGGAATCGGTTATCAATAGAATAATAGTTCATGTAAACAAGATTGTTATTTCATTGTTGACATTGTGTCTGATTTTAAACGATACTTAAAAGCACTGTTTCAAATGATGGGATGTGAAAGTTACAGAAAATTAAATTTGCTTAAAAACGGATATACTATTACGTATTGTATAGACAAGAGTAATTGATAAACGATATAAATTATCGATAATAACTGTTTGTCTACTAATTAATAGAAGTAAATTTAAAGTGCAATCTTTCGGTGTATTGTAGTAATAAAGCAATTATATCACGTGAAATAATCTCTGCTATTTACCGAAGAGTTGAAAAAGGATCAGTCTATGCAACATACATACTCAGGTGCATTAAATGATAATGGATACCGTTTATTCATGTTATTCTAAAATGAAACTTAAGTCAGGAATCGTACAGGATATGCTCTATTCATCTTCATGAATATTAATTTGATTTGATTACGCAATAATCTTACAACTTGCTTGCAAATTATGCTAACTGATCCTGTGTTGATTAGTTAGATGCCATAGTAGTGAGAATAAATGCAAAATGAATCCGTATAAATTTTAAGACCTATTACTGAGCAGATATTGTTCCTGTTGACATGTTACAGTAAATTACTTTGACCTGCTACTCCAATGATCAATAATTTATCTTTCCGTCGTCACTAAGTTTAGTCATCACAAGAATTAATAAACCTTTTAGGATCAGCTATGCTGTATTGTGTCTGGAATATAAAATAAAATTAGCATCTGTTAATAAAAAAATGAACAGATTTTCAGCTTTTGACGTCATGCCATCGATAAATTATCATTGATTGGCATTACATCATAATTGGGTTCCGATCATCTAAAGTGGCACCGGATGTTTATCAGCATTATTTGAAGTCTTTGATCTGTACAATTGACGCTTTTCTTTGATTTTGTTTGATATCAATAGTAAGCAAATGAATTTTCAAATTTTATTCCACAAAAATTTACTTATTAATACAATGTGGTTGTATTAACGATAAGCCTTATTGTTAATGTACTACGTTAGATTCTACCGCTAGCTATCAATCTTTAGCAATGATAATTTTATATTACGTTTGCGGTCGATTGTATCAAGTAACCATTTTACTGATTGGTTTTAGTTTATAGGAAGAAGTTAAGGCTAACTTTTACGTAATTACCATTAGTCACTATTTTAGTTGAAATTTTGAGCGAGTTACTATTATTTATTTGATACTGTTCTCGTTTGGTAAATGATGTACAGATTAAATTATCTACAGATAAATAGCTATTTTATTTTTACTAAAGGAAAATAGCTAAGGAAAACATGATTCTGCCACAGGTTTCTACTATGTGATAATAATGTTATTGTATCTTTGTGATACAATTATTTATTGATCAAATATCATGTTACAGTTAAATTTATGGATATTAAGAGCGAAGTATCCTATGGGAATATTAGAGTAATAATATAATAGATACGCGAATAGGGTAGAATGTATTATGGGCTTGGAAACGATGAAATTTTCTCTACTATTAGTGAACGCACTTACTATTTTATAGAATGGAAGCGAAACATATGATATTATGCCTTCATCTAGATTTTTAAGGTTAAATCTTTAGCATCTTTGGAAAGATAAGTTCAAAGCTCTTCTAGATCGACGTTTACAACGTGATATTAAAAACTCCGAGCCCGCTGCCGTACTCTTCTATTGCTAGGAGGCCATAATATCAAAAAACCTCTCGAACTAAGTTATGGACCCAATTTTTATTGAAAAGCCAACTAATTTGTAGTGAAGGTACGTAAACCTTACTTATCATTATTTAGATAATATTTTAAAAATAAGCAGTTTGCTATAGTATACAAATGAGAGATATAATCAATATTTCTAATTTCTTAGATGTGCTATCTATTGATAGGCAATTTGCTTTACTAAGCAAAAGCAAGAACCAAAGATTCTATTGCTAGATGAAGAAAATACAATCGAATGATTACAGAGGACATATGCAAGCTAGTAGCCTCTTAAGTAGTGTACGAAAAGTTGGATAACATATGAGTTTTATTTTCTTATATTGTATCTAAGATTGTGACAAAAAATCGTGAATATGTCACTATCGCATGTTTCTATTTTCGGTTTAGTACTGGTACTTTACATCTACTTTTATCTAGCATTACGTATGTGTGTACTGTCTCTCTTATTGCATTCTACAGTACCCTAATATCATAACTTCAAACAAAACATCAGTATAGCATATTGGTCGCTCAAATTTATTTTTGTCAGCTAATTAAGTAATAGCAACAGATGGTTAATCATTCTATCTAAAATCTTGTGTCTCAGTGAACCGTAGGCAAAGTAATTGTACTGCCACTTACCAGTATTGACAGTAATAATTATAATATCACCTCTTTCTATCTTAGTTCGTTGAAAGGTTTTTGCCCATAGCAAAAGTTATTCCATACGATGATGGATTTAATAACATAGCAAAGCTTTAAAGTATGTAAAATATATTGCATTTCAATAAACGTTATTTATTTGTCTTTTTACGACAATTACATTTTATAAGGATGCATTATAGGTTATAGTGATTTCTTTGTGGTTTCGAACTGTAGCCACAGTAGAATAATAGTCATAAATTTTTCATCGAATTTACATACTTTAGTGATTATTTAGTTTTTACGGTGCTTGTATAGGTTTATAACGAGCTTTAAATCCTTTATAATTAATAGAAAGATCACTATAAAATGCCAGAGTCATCGTACTACCACTTGATGTCAGAGATGGAGGCAATTGATTACCACATGTACTATTTAATAATCGAATTCCAGCTATGCTTCCATCAAAAACTTCTACCCGATCGTAACATCGATACTGACTGCCTTCAACATCGAAATCAAGCCAATCGAGCTGTATTTTATTACCAGTATCCAATTGAATCCTATAATAGCATTCAGAGCTGCTATCGTATTTATTCGGATAGTTACTACTCATGATCGTTCCATTATTACTGGTGAAACTTCCGCCACAAGCAAAATCTGTATGAACAGATGCAATCAAAATCATTAGAATTTATAGAATTAGCTCTAGAGAAAGATTGTATATAGTAGATAAATTAGTGATTGCAAAGTTGAAATCACTGTGCATGTTTCCTCATAACTAATGGAGATCATTTATGAATATTATACCTGTTGTTGCCATGGTACTAGTCGGTTCGCTCACTAAAATAAATTTATACGTGAAATAATATTTTAATTAGAACGCTTGCATTAAGATTAGAGAAGTAAAGATGATTAGTCAGAAAATTTTGAAGAAAAGAAATAGGAGTCACTTACAATTCTGACAGTTTCTTCCAATATAGCCATTAGTGCAGGAGCAGGAATATCCATCAGCTTCATTTTGACAAGAACCACCATTCTTGCAAGGACTAGAAAAGCATGGCGAGTGTGACTCATTCACTATTCAAACATGTTGCAGTAAAATTGTATTAGTAGGTGTTCTCTAACTGTCAATGATCTCGCAATTTACTATTGATCTTCCTGTGCTTCTATTTAAAGCATAATAGAAATATATTCCGTTCGTTTTATTCCCTACAGTATTATAGTATTTCTGTACGCTTACCAAGAGTGTAATGAGCTTCAAATCCTTTATTAGATATAAATGAGTCACTTTGGAAATTTAAAGTCAAAACATGGCCACGAGAATGATAATTGCTAGGCAAATTTGTTCCACAGTACTGTGATACTTCGTTGTTGGTGTTCTTTTGACCATCATATACTGTTAAACTATCGTAGCATATAGAAAGTGTCTCCGCTTCTAATTCAAAATCAATCCATTCTAGCTGAATCGTTTGATTTGTTCCAGCAATAATTTGGTAGGTGCAGTCTAAATTTCCTGTATAATCCTTGGGATATCTTGGACTACGGATTATGCCAGTATTTTGAGTATATGTTCCACCGCAGCCTGCTTCAGTTGCTGTAGCAAATTGTCCATGATTATTCGTAAGTTAAGTATCAGTAAAATGTAACGTATTAAAGTTCAAGTTTTACCTGCAGGAGTGGGTGCTGTTGTTGGAGCCAGGGTTACTATGTCTAATAAATTTTAAAAATAGTACGGCATTGATTTAGTAAAAACAGGAACTGAAATGAAATCGCAGATTATCAAATTTATAATATTTACTGTAGATATTACATGATCTTAAAGATTTTATAATTAATCATACCTTGACAATTACTGCCTTTATAGCCAGGATTACAGACGCATTGATGACGGTCACCAATATCAAGGCATATTCCTCGATTACCGCATGGGTTATCACTGCAGAAGTCGTTAATAACTATATAATAGTAATGCAGATTGAGTTACTAGGCTAGTAACTACACAAGTTTAGGGTAAACTAGAGGAGTAAAATGAAGGTTTTTTATTTCTTGTTTTTACATGAATACGATAAGCCATTGGGATAACTAGTTATTAGCCATAATTGCTATTTTAGATAAATTTGTTCTATTATTATACTTACTGGTATCGCAATTTCGGCCAGTGAATCTCCCTTGACAAGTGCAAGTGTAGTTTGTACCTGCATTCGTATTTGTGCAAGTTCCATCATGTTGGCATGGGTTAACATAACACGGTAGTACTGTCTCATCCGCTGAGATTAGAAGTACGGTAGATAAATTTTTAGTATTTTACGACTATATCTAGGCGTTCATGGAATATAATTGTAACCCTATACAGTATTATTGAAATATTAATATTCTCATCATTATCTCTATCGTCTTACCTTGATCACATCTTGCACCGGTAAATCCTTGATAGCAGTTACATTTGTAGAAAACGCTAGAAGTTGCTTGACAAGTTCCAAACAAGCAATTATTCTTTTGACAAGGATGATTATTTCGCACTATAACATATAACAAGAAGAAAATAGGTTTGAATTTGCAGGCTTAAGTTTACAGTAGACTATCACCAGTATTTTAATACTTTGATGCTATTTTAAATAAGACTTACGTTGAATAACCCATTCTATAATGACTTCACTAAAGTATTGCTTAATAAGTGATATTTTTTATTACTAGACTTTTACAGACTTTATTATTAGCTAGCAATTGATAAATGTAGTACTCGCTCACTCTAGGTGCTATATAATATCTAAATAGCATCAATGTAGCTTTTTATATTAATGCTAGATTTACCTGATTCACAACGTTCACCAGTATAGGAAGGCGGACACTGACAAACATAGAATTTTCCGCTACTAAATTCTCTGCTTACACAAGTTCCAGCGAAACATGGATTACTTGCACAAGGGAATACCGATGAATTCTCTAATAGTACAATTAAGTAAAGCTCAGATTAAAGAAACGTAACAGTATTTAAGTGATGAAATATAATAGGGATTAGTAATAACAATATTTTAGGGATTCATTATACTGTTAGTATTTTATGATAATTTCAATCAGCTGAAAATTTTTTGCAAATCAGTAAAATAAGGATTAAAATATTGGAAAGATATTTTATCTTATTTTCTTAAATTACTGAAGTTAATCGTGATATATCAAAGGATAAATAGTAAGTTTGCAGAATTTTTAGTTTCTACGTACTCTGATCGCACAATTTGCCAGTGTATCCTGGAACGCAGTTACATGTAAAGTTTTGATCTCCGGTTGGCTGACATGTACCTGCCCAACACGGTTGATCTTGGCAACCATCAGTAATTCCTGCGAATGTGTAATTGTATGAACATAAACAATTAAAATTTTAATCATAACAATTTAGAGCTTTAGCAAAATATTCAAATTTGTAATACGTATACTAAATAATAATGATAATAAAAGCTGCAACGATCTCACTTACTCTCTTGACACCTGCTTCCAGTATAGCCAGAATCACACACACAAACATATTGAGTTCCATTGGATATTGATAAACATTCTCCTGCCCAGCAAGGATTGTTGGTGCAAGCATCTGTTACTACATTTCGCAGAAAGTGATCGAAATTAAAGACTGTGTATGAAAATATAGAGCGAAATAGTGATAGATTACTTAAAAATATATACAGTATACTATGGTACATGCAAATGGCAATATTTGCGTATTGCTAGTATAAGTTGATTATTTTATTTATAATTCTATAATCGAGTGTAATAATGTTTATTATAAATCGATGGATAACGCAATATAAATCAGCTTTATTGCAATATGATTATTGATTGAACAGACTTGTTTCAGAGATTAAATTAGCGCATGCATATGAAAGAAGTTTTTGCTATGAATTCAACTTAAGATACTAACCTATATCGCAGTATTGGCCTGACCACCCGGAGTTGCAATTACATTGGTAAGCTAACGTTCGATTAGAATAAGTGCATTGACCAGCGAAACAAGGATTGCTTGCGCAAGGATTTAACATCACTATAAAGAAAATAGTATGTGATATATTAAGCAAAAGTGGCCGTTAGCGGTAATACGAATACTTCTGCTGCGATGTGTAACGATCGGAAATATTATGGCAAAATATGAAGTGACGCATTATAGTATAGATCATTGAAATATTCAATTTGATAATGTACTGTATTTGTTGGCAACTGAGTTATTGAAAGATTGAGGTATAAGGTAAATCTGTTAAATTTAAGGGAAAAATGTCATACTATAGTACGTACCTTGCTCGCAATTTACACCTTGAAAACCAGTAAAGCAATCACAGGTATAAGACTGTCCATTGCTCGAATTGAAACACAGTCCAGCAAAGCAAGGATTACTGTTACACAGAGGATATTCTGTACTTGTTTCCTCCTCTATGAATCGAAATATATTCAGATATTAAAATTCACTTTTGATTATGCTACTAACATTAGATATCCACTTTTGTGAATGTGCTCTGTATGCTACTTTTTTGTATTAACTCTTGTGCTAATTATAAAATAGGAAATTAAAACTTCGATATAAATGATATGCGGGCATAAGTGATAGTATTCTTACATTTTTTTGGATTAGAGAAGAGTGAACAAGATTGTTATAATGTTGAACCACAGGATTTGAATAAGGAGATAAAAGATTTATATTATTTAATTAGTATCAATACTACGTAATATTCTTTATAAGTTCTATGATATTAACAAATGAAATTTCGTTTTGGTTTCTTGCAAGTGTAAAGTTTGATGCTAGTCTTTTACATTGATCACTTTTTAATTTAAGGTTAGATTTTTAATGCTGTATTTTGAAGATAGTTCTTGATATCTGGGAGCTTACTCGTTCCATACATGCCAACAAACATTTTATATCTATTGACCAATGCTATCTGAGATGCACCACTGTCAAATTCATTTAGTGCATAGTATGTTACGGCTAAAACATTGTAGAAAGTGAATTAGAACTGTGCCTTACTTGAGCCTCAACTTTACTTGAATGAAGTAAAAGTAGGAGAATAATCGCGAAAGGAATTAGAATACAGGTCTTGATCATGATTGCGAGGGAGGTTTTTGCTTTGCGGTATGAATTCGTCGCTTAAATAAATTGAAGACTGCTGATCTGGAATATTTATAATAAAATTTTAAACCCCTGGGGTCATAACTTAAGCTTTTTATGGTTTTAATCCTTCATTATAAGAAATAAGGATAAAGCATCGTTAGTTTGCTTTGTAAATAGTTACCATTTCGTACCAGGAGAACTTTGCACTTATTTACTTATTTTAAGAAATAGTAAACATTCTTATCGAGGTTACTCGATCGTATTTGCATATTTATCAAATGCTATTCCATAGACATTAAATACAGTAATATTAGTTTTAAACTTATTTCAATTTGATGATTATAATAATTGAAAACTAGCTTATTTAACAAGAAATATTTCTGCAAATATATTTTTTGATAAGTACGTAAAGATTGAAACAAATTCTATCAATGAAGGACTTTGTTATAAGAGATATGAATGTCTTAATTAAGACTTAATCAATCCTTTTGATTGCGCAGTAGGGGTTGAACCAAGAAGTGACTGTGCAGTTTACGAAGATGCGAGAAAGACTATTCCTGTTGGTTTATTATTCTTAACCTGAATACTATGGCAACGTTATAGCTGTGACGAATATAGTGCTGTTAACATTAGCAAAAGAGGATAAATAGAGTTGTACTTTGAGCTTGAAAGTCAGCATACTGCAGAATTCTTCTGATTTGCTGTAGTGGCGATAGAACTACATTCTGGATGTAAGCCTTTACAGTATCGCTATTTCTAAAATAATTCTTCTAGATAATCTTATGGCATGCATTCAATTCTAATTCTCATTAATTTGACAGTTAATAGTTATTTAAGGGAGGTAAGTGCTAAACATAGGTAGACGAACAAATCTAGAACTGGATTAGCTATTACTTATTTCATTCACTACTAGTGCAAACTCCCGTCGCTTTACTGACGGTTTACGATAATGTGCTCATTTAACATCTTTTACGAAGTATATACGCGTACAGTATATTCAATAGTTTGGTACCGTTGTGTCACATCTATTATTTCACAAAGTCTCTCCATTTTCTCTTGCTTTAGAGGTAGCACTCAAGGTCGATAATACAAAATCTCGTCCTGCAAAAACAAACTGTTGAGAATCACACGTTTTATGTTCGTTTCTTAAATTATATATATATCGTCATGTTGAATTCACCATATCCTATGAAACAAAAGTTGCGCTATAAATGAGTATTATATCTTTCAATTTGTATGATGATTTATTTAGTTATGTCTAGTCTATATTCTTCATATTAGCTAAGTAATGGCAACTGATTGTACAAAGAGGTTAGATTTTACGGAAATGTGTCCATAACCAAATAGAACGGGTACAATGTAGTCGAATCCAATTAAACTTTATCCTAAATTATTCGGATGCATACATAGTGAGCAAAATTTTATGTATGCGCTTATCTTTTGTTTAAAGTTTATAATGTAGTGCTAGTGTTAAGAACTGAAACTGTCTTATTTAAAATATTTTAAATGGTATGAAATAAGTGATTAAGCGTTTTGTGTATCCTCTCTGGAGATGAATGAAGGCGTATTCCTCTTGCATGTACTGGCGACCCAGAGTTAATCCTAAATAATTATATAAATAGTTCGGAAACTAAATTGTAACTCCCGCTTTTTACGGTGATGATTGGGTTCATGCTGGCATACCCACAATATCCTACATTATTAGAATTCAATGAGAATGACGTAATAAAATATTATTAGATCAGTGTGGTCATGGTCGCACATAATTTGAATATGACTTTGAACCTATACTAATATTGAACATAACGATTATGTTTCTCTGTTTTATTGTTTACTATCGATGCCATATAGAGCATAATGAAATTGACACAATTATATACCATTATTTATTAGTCCTACGCTAAATTTATGCTTACACTTAACAGTATGGCGTAATAAATTGAAATTGTGCTCTACTGCTATTGACTATTTAGGTATATTCTACACCACTTAGCGTAGGACTGTTATATGTCGAGTGCTATCTAGGTAATAACTACAAATGTGGTACTGTAGCAGCATTATAGACCCAAATTTGCGTACATTTTTACACCTTAGATGTGTATCGTAGTGGATAAAGTGAAAATTTGCTGTAATTCATCGATTCATTCCTACTTTTATCGCAAATTCTCAATATCTAGCGAAAATTCAAAGGGTAAGTGTAATGTAACTAGTATTATGATTGTAGACTATTAGCCACGTTTAGTATAATGTACGGTAGATATTTATCCTAAGAGATATTTGGTAGCTATAACTATAGACTGTAGTGGTAGAGACTCTATGCTAGAGTACAGATGACTATATACAGTAAGGTGTTGAGTTACTAATAAGGCTATAGGTAAAAATAGAACTGTAAATCATATATTAGGATATGGTTAATTCATTGTATTTTGGCTGGTGTGAACAATGTCTACGTAAGTACTGTAGTCGTATTCATATTGGACTAATGATGCTCCGCTGTAGAATAGTCTTACAAAGAATAATTTAACTATGTGTAAAATAAGGTAAAAGGTTGCCATGCGGATTGTAGCTGCGAATGCTACGAAAAGTATAAAAGCATGCAACTTTAGATTATTCTGTTAGTTCGTTGTAGAAGTCTTTAGTAGTAGTATTCGGCTAGAGTAGAGTTGTGTGTAGTTAATCTTTGTATAAGATTCAATAAAGCCCTTATTTTTCTAAAATTTGGAATTTCGTGATTGGTATATATCACAGTAAGATACTTGAATTTTTAAAGATTTGCTAAGCATGGTAATAAATAATATAGATAGTCTACGATTGCGTGAGCATATAGTACCGTGGACCTTTAGATATATCATTGACTACTAAATATGGTGCATTACTTAATCCATTACCGTAGATGCAGCTACTATTCTGAGTAACATTTTACGATTGCAATGCAGATTCAAGAATTAGTATGGCAATTGTAATTGCTACTCAAATTTGAGATGATTTGTTGATGAGATGTAATTAATAGCATAGCATTAGCACCCTTTGGGTACAATTCTATAACCGATGTAATTTTCATGGAGAGACCACTGTGATACAGCTATGATCTGTAGAATAAAACCCATAGAGGCAATAGGTATTCTTAATATTACTGGCTTAGACGCACTTCCGTTTTAAAGGGTCTTTAGTTTAAATTTTACACAGGTAATAGTAAAATTCTACAGGGTATGGTTCTTGAGCTTCTCGCTTGATACATTAAAATAAGACGTTACCTGCTTATTATGAACTGTATATATATATTGTAAACTGTCCGTTTATATTACGATAGCATAGTTTACTGTAAATTTTCAACAATAACATTCATATATCTATGACTAAAAAAAATAACACCAACCTAATAATCTAAGGTAAAGTAATAGTGATGTCGAATACCGATATCGAGCAATCTTTGCCACAATTTAGGGGAACCTACGATACTTAAAAATTTATAATGACGGGGAAACGCGGCGTGTACAGTAATTAGGTATAAATTTTTGGTCTATTGCTAGCGATAAGGTAGTAATAATCCATGAATATATATATTTCTTTACCATTAAACTTTCTTATGTTTTCTACTAGGATATTAATCGGCTTTCTGATAAATTTACTGTAGCTTAAGCTCCCATGCCATAAACTGGTCTCTTTCAATTCGCCCAATGAAAGCTTTCTTGATATGCTGCATTGCTTTGGTTTTGATGCTTTAACCCTTTAAACTGGAAAATCTCAGAGCATAAGAAATTCTAGAACGGTATTTTGAATAATCTAAATTTTTATCTTTTGTACTTCTGGTACATTATTTTAATGAATTACGGGTTCAGCTTAAATTAACGTTCATACATTTTCTCAAAATTGCTCAAATATGGCGTTTACGCTTGCAATAATGATTATAACCTTTGCGTTGTACTCATTTGATTTCAAGCTGTGTTCGAATTGGAAATTTATTTATAGAGAGTGAAAAATTATTATCAATTCAAGACTTTATCAATATTGTAGAAATACAGAACATTATGTAATACCTTGATTATTATAGACTGTCGATGTAAGGTATTCAAGCTAGTTGCCATTATCCTTGCTGTTTCATTTTTAATACGGCATTAAGCGATAACTGCGTAAACTACGTTATAGTTCTTGTTTTATTTTGAATATCACAAACATTGGTGTAATTGTTAATTATTGCTAATATATCGCAGTTTATTATTAAAAGATATAACTGGGGAATTTCAAAATAGTTACGGTACATTATTAGAAACGTCTTGACTACGCAATATTTGGGGATTCACTTCAGTAACCATACTTCATTGGCAGATCCTAACGTTTACGATGTTCATTTTTTTGACAATTATTTTGTTTAATTTCGAAACAAACGATAATGATTAATTTTTAAGGCACATAATACGTTATTAGATTTATTCTAGCAGGTATGTGCAATTAATCAGATTCATCTATTCACAATACTTAGCATTTGTTTATTTTCCAGTAACTAAGATTTGGGCGTGCCCGATAATCATTAGAACATTCCATTAGACGTAGGCAGAATAGGCCAGCCTCTATAGAAAGTGTATAAATAACGATGTATATCGATTGATCGATTGGAAGGGAGATATGATTGATGCAAGAGAGGAATTAATATTAAAAGGTAGGTTTGATTCTGTAGGCTACTTCAGATTACCTGTTCCTTCAAAAATTAGGATATGATGTTCTTACCCGCAACAAAGGTAATTTATTATAAAATTTCGGTATGTCTTTGCCCATATAGCATGACAAATTTTTGGGTAAGTTGATGCCATAGATAGTAATACGACTGACATAATTTCATTAATCACTTAATGCCTAGATACCTGTAATCAGTGCAACATTTGAAGGTAATTTAATGGCACACTTATACTTCAGCATTGCATGCGGTATGCCTTCCAATTTTTATTTTTATAATTGCAGAAATTTAAACTTAAGATCTTAGATCGTAATTAGCTACTATAAATATAACCAATCAGTACTAGTAGTTTTGATTGAACATGATTAATAGTATGAAGCCATTATTGATGTTGAAAGATAAATAAATATTCGCGACACCTGCAGTCCTTAACACGTGTGCTTCAAGTAAGTAATTGAGTCTAAGCATCCTCTGCTACGCTTCAATGTCATTAAAGCTGATATAGTTAGTAGTGACGCTCATACAGTTCTATTAAGACAGGTATATTTATTAAAGGTTGAATATTAAAATTACAGGCAATGAAATTATAAAAATATTTCCAAATAATATTACGCCATTTTGCATTGCTAATCAATGATAGTAATGATAACTTATAACCTAAATCGAGATATCATATAACCATCGTAAAATAATAAATGCCAAGAGCTAACAATAAGTTAGTATTGCTTTAGATTTCCAGTATAATTGTTAATCTAAAGTCCCTTTAAGTTAAAAAATTAAGTACTATTAGTATAAAAATACCCTATGATTTGTAGATTAACTAAGGAAAACTAAATATAATGAAACTACTGTTAACTTAAACACGAACATCATCAAAAACTAATGGTCCTAATTCTACTTGAGCAAGGTATTACATTGCGATACGCGCAAAAAATAACACCTATACAAAATACGAAAGAGGATAAGAATAAATAATCCAATTGTTAAAATGTTCTTACGCCAAGCTTGTGTTAAACTTTAATATCCCTGACGTGCAATTATACATTGGCAGCAATTAAATATTGGACTCAGTTTTGATAGCTTCAATTTTTTTCATGTATAACGGGTGATATTTTTGTAGACTTGTTTTCGTGATTGAAATTTTCAAGGCAGATGCATTTAAAGCTTTGTCAACATGGATTTATGGCACATTCTTATTGAAGTGCACATTATTTAGTCTAAGAGGCATTACAGACGAGAATATTGATTGACCATTTTATCAATCCAATCACGGAAGTATGATACATCTGTATAGACACCATACTTGTACTGTCTAGCGCAGCCTGCACCCCAACTGACGACTCCGGTTAACTCAAATTTGTCACTGTTTTTAACTTGAGTAGCCAACGGTCCACCACTATCTCCTTGGCAAGTATCTACACCACCTTCTGTATAGCCAGCACATAACATTCTGGTTGTAATTTGGCCATGATAGCTTCTCAAACTGTTGCAAGTTTCACGGCTAACGATCGGCACGACAGCAACTTGCAATGTTGGTGATGTGTTTCCACGGAAGGAAAGCGTTCCCCAACCTGATATAAGTGATTGAGAGCCTTCTATAGCTCGTTTTTGTGCTTCTGGAAGGCATATTGGCCTAACATATTCATTAAATTCAACAGCTTTATCTAATTGTAATAGCGCGATATCGTAATCAGTAGTTGGAGCGTTATAATGAGGGTTTTGTATTTTCTTGATTACACTACGCTTAACACGCGATGATTCCTGCTTTGTCAGATCATGACTGCCTAACCAGATACGCATATCTTCAGCTGGATACTTATCCTTAGCACAATGTGCTGCTGTTGCGATCCATTCGCGTGAAATTAATGAACCACCGCAGTAAGCATGTTCACTTACTTTGCCATTAAAGTAAGTTCTTCTAATAAGTAATGTTACTTGCCAAGGTAATGAATGCGGCGTTGCTTCTTGTCCACCAACAATGCGAGTCATATGTTCAGAAAATGCCGATTTTCCACATATTTTATCGTTAAGCTGAGCTTTAGCGGCTGAAAAGGCATATTTAAAATGATTTAAGACCGGTTAATAGAGTTATCAATGGTGGGCTAAAACTGAATGTTATTGTTAATGAACTAGAACGTTATTATCGGAATGAATATTTCATGGTTGTATACTTGTATAAATTAATTTTATCTTAAACCAATTTATGATAGTTATCAAAACGATATTTCGTTAAAGCTTATAATATTTTACAAAATTAAAGATACCTGATTTTTTATCGGACGATTTTTGGCTGTCTTTATCTAAAATAGAGATAATTTTAAAAATCCATAAGACTTGATGATTGATAAAAATACTATTTATTAGTTGAAATAGTATTAGATGATGGGAAGGCCTCCAGCTTTTATTACCAGCAGAGCTGTTCAATAATATCTAAACGGATCTGGTTAAAAATATGTCCGTCGTATTGTGCTGTAGCTAAGACAAGATAAAACGGTTTCTTATAATTACAGAGTAAATATACCTGATTTTTGGTTCTTGGATGATTTGTTAATGTCTGTAAATAAATTGAGTTAAAAATAAAGAAATTAGACCGTCGATAAAAATGGATAGATACTGAAGGAATAAGTAAGAATACGTAGTGCTCCAGGGGTATATAAATTGATTACAATAAAGTTATTACTTAGAGTGCATTTATTCCAAGCTCAAACAGTAAAGTAGTATTACGCCTAACAGTAATATTATCCTATCTTCTATGCTACCACAGTATAGTATACGTTCTCTGTAGGCAGTAATATTAAATGTAATGATTATTTGAATGAATATTTTATCAGAAATCAATCAGCGTAACGTAAAATAGCATGTACGTTCTCTTAACTCACCATGGCTTTCTTTCTTTAGTGGTTTTTCTACTTTAACTGTCTTTTTCAAAGGCTTTTTTGCTTTAGTTTGATGTACTTTATTTAGTATTTTATCTGGTACAATTTCGTCATCTCTATCTTCCCATGATTCTCTTTCTCTGTCTGACTCTTCATCGCCCTCGTCCTCGTCCATGTTTGCCATTGCCAATCTTTTCATCATTGCTGTTACACATTGTATAGAATATATTAGTACACCTTAAGAGTAAGTTACCTATTTTATCTGTTTAACTCAATTACTGTAAAGATTCGTTGAAAAGATGAAAATTAGCGTACCAGCGAAGAATTTTTTATTAAGAGATTCAGAATGGCTATTTTTCAAGGTTTTCGATAATTTCTATTCATAGAACATAGAAGGAAGAAATCGTTATTTTAAGAGTCTTGGGTAGTTAGCCATGTATACTTCTGGATTACTAAAGGATGAATCAACAGGCTACTAAACATTATTAGGCCGTACTTAATTAGAATGATGTCGTTTTGATAGTTAACAAGATATTAAGCGCACATTTTGGTTATAAAATATAAGCCCGCGATATAATTTTTTCTGAATTAGAACTCCAAATCAAAGTGTGAGACTGTAAAGCATCGAGCTGAATTTTTTAATCAAGTAAAAGTTCATGAACGCTTTAACAAAGTAAATGTTTAAGAAAATATGTCCGGACTTCTGTTTATCGTGGTTTTAAATCAAAATTTTTACATCGGCGATTGAATAGTTATGTTGGTGTAAGCATTTATACTTGGCACTGTAATGATGAATCAACAGGTTTCTCGAAAAACAAGAGCGGCAATACAGTAGATGTATACTATAACGTAAAATGCTATAAAATTGCTATGCAACAACCATCATTTTCTTTAAAAATCGTAAAATGCCTAGAAAAAAGTGGGATACATTATTAATTTGACAAACATTATAAGATTTACCTTAGATTGAGTTTTATCGGCTTCGACGATTAACGATAACGCCGCAATAGTAATCAGTAATGATACTATAATGAACTTCATCTTCAATAAAAATTAAATTAAGCTAGGACGATCTAGTCAAAAAGGCGAGGTAATTAGTTACGTTTTAAACGAAAAAAGATTTAATCTAAAAGTGTTAGTTACATTTAAATCGATGTTATAAAATCAAAGAAGGAAGACAAGAGTTTTACTTAATCGAAATAGATACAATCTACTAAATATTGCTTAAAAATTCAACCTGTATGATATGCTATCGCGATTTTTTCTAAGTAAAGTTATTAATTTCTTCTTGAAGGCTACCCAAATTGACGACGAGTAATATCAAATGTTTTCAATAAAAACTAAAGTAACTTACGACGGGAGAAAGAAATAACTTATTCAGTTATTTGCCTAAGGGAAAAAGTGCCTTAACCAATGAAATTGAACGAATAATGATTAGCATGATAATCAGCCCTTTTCTTATAGGATAAATACATAATGTATAGAGTAAAATAAATAATAGGTGCTGGACAGAGCATAAATAATATCGAATCCATTATTGCCGTCCCTATTCAACAGTTAAATATAGTACAACTTTCTACGTGAATGCTAATTATAATGGTAATGATTTTGATATAAAAGTCACTAAGGTGAGTTAAGACTCAATACTATAGCGGCTTTGTTATTTAATACAATAATAAAATATAATTAGTATTGGTTGCTACAGTATTATGTTTAACATCGATAGAAATCAATGTGAATGTACGCATATATATACTTGTTGAATAATCTGAGCCATAAAACAGTGTATGATAATTTAGCGAAAGAATTAATCATTATTATGATGCAGTACTAGGTGTTTAAGACTTTGTATAGGCTATATTCATTGATCATAATCAGTCCTAAGATTGAAAACGTTTTTAGGAATGGCCATAACATATACAGCATGCGAACTTCTAAATAAATAACAGGAACTGGAAAAATTAAAGTAAATTAAGAACTAACTTGATTCAAGCATAAATTATTAAATATTTCATTGAAATTATTCTTTCTTGATATCTATATATACATTACAGTATTTATAGTTATTAGTAACAACGATTTGAATATTTGCAGTTAATTAATCTTGATGCACTGCGTAAACCATGAAAATATCAATGACATTGCTGCATCATCTATTGTATGTCCAATGTATTGCTTGTATACATATAACGGATATTGTTGCAATCGGTGTTCTTGGTTCCAATCCTTTTTTCATTTTGTCTAATTTTACGTCATTAATTATTATCATTCTGACGTGAAAAAAATTAATAATATCTCCTTTTACGGGCGTTTGAATTGAAATGAATTGATAAAACCTCAACGTTTATTATTGACGAAGAAATACCTTCAAGGTCAATATAGTAATACAGTTCCCTGTTTTCTATTTAAATGAGTAATGAAGATTTTTTAATCTCGTCATACTTTGACTATAAATGTATTAGACTATTAATAAGATTAATAAATGGACTAGACTATGAATAAATTTCCAGTATATACGTGTATACTTCTCTGTTTTCTCATTTAAAAGAATTACGGAGATATTTTAATCTAGTAATTCTTTGCCTATGAATTTAGACTATTACTAAGATTAATGAATGGACTAGACTCTAAATAAAGTTCTATCTCAGTGATCATTTCACTGACAAGGATTGTGAAAATTAATTTTTAATCTCTCCAGCAGACAGTGGTAGACTAAACACGGTAGTAATTACGATAAGCATTATGATACAATGTCCTCGATTTCTGTTTAATATCCCGATATATCGAATTTACCCGCGTTCGCATGCGTTACGGAGTTGAACGTACATCCCATAGAAGTAAGAGAAAAATACTGAGTGAGCATTTTCTCTTACCTTTATGGTATATCGGTCAGCGACTTCTAAACTCTCCTCTTACTAGAAGTCCTTGTGCCCATTCATTCATTCGTTTCCAGCACTGCACTGTTAAATTAACTGTCTCGATAAATCTGCGCTTGCGTAATATCGTGATTACGTCACCGTGATGGCGTCGTCATTTGAGGTCTCAGAATGGCTAGTAGCGTACTCGCTCGTTATACCTTGTGCGCTATATAATTTACTTGCCGCGACTTTGCATATAATTTACTCATTTCCGTTAAGTTAGTCTACTTAGTATAATGGATTCAGTTAAATGTACATTCCTAAATTAATTAATTTTAATATTAGTACACTGTATATTAATCAAGTTTCAATTTTTTTTTATAGATTACCTAGTGTAATACCTTTATAGTAATTTAACGTTGAAAAGTTCTCGAAATTTCAATTTTTTAATCCCATTTTACGATATTTTACTTTAATATTAGGTACGTATACTGCACTTGTAATCAGAATGTCCTGTGAATCGAAATAATGCTACCAATTAATTTATATAAATTTTCACGTCCAAACATTGATTGCCTTTACACTACATTAGAAATGTCAAGCAAAATTTTTATATAAAACAGTATCCTTTTAATTAATTTAATGTTGTAATTAAACAAATTTAAGCTATTTCACCGATATTTTAATGTGAGAATTATAGAAAAATGGCATTATTTAGGTAGTATAAATATTTACAATAACGGTAGTAAGCTGACAAATTTTGTAACATTACTTTAGAAGGAAATGATTTTAATCTAGTTTTTTATCTATATCATAATTAAGAAAATTTGAAAACTGATATATGCTATTACTGGCAGACTAATGAAAGGTAAAATTTTATCGTATTTGATCACTTTTTATTAAATGTATTATAGCTCAATTTTATTTCCTATGGTGATCGATTCAGGTATAAAATTCTAACTAATATCTGATGATAGAGAAGCAATGATTCAATAAATATTTTTACATAGCTAGATAATAATAAGCAGTAGACAAGAGAGTTACGCTAAATTAGTAATCTAATAAAGGGTTCGATACATTAGCATACATGTATGCATATAAATGCAATACCAAGTTTATAGTAGGCCACACCTGTCATGAGTGGACTAAAGCTTAATAAATTGCTTAGAATTAATGGGTGGAACAAAGTCAACAATATGGTGAAACAGACGGTGGAATAATACATGGATAGACTCATCCGTTGCTAGAAGATGACTAATATGGGTGAAACGGTAAGATTAGTAATAGTTTTTATCATTACTCAGTAATAACGCAAATAGTTGAGAGAATGCATAGACGCTGACGAGGAGTAGAATTGTCTTTAGTCATAAACAGCTACATTACAGCAGTACGTAGAACATTTTGTGACTGTTACGTTTCATATCAGCTATTAAATAAATGTAAAATTGCCATCGAATAGTTTGTGATAGATATTTTTAAGTAGATCGATTTCGTCTCTCAATCAGTAAGCTAAATCTATCTGCATTAATACCAATAGCACTTACCTAATTGTTAAAATGCTCATCAAACCTAAAAAAGTAACTCTAAATCATATGCCAAATAACTATATCCGCGACAATGTTGATGATATTTTAATTAAGATACATACCGCTATCGCCAGTCCAGAATTTATTTCTAATAATAATGAGAAACAAGCTGTAGCAGTGTGCTTGGAACGCGTTTTGACCGTAATCAAGTAAGCCTATATCTAAAATATACATAATGCGACTCTTTATACGATCATTGTATGTGTTTGGTAAAATTGTTAAGCGATATTAGCTAAATTTGCAATTCTTAGATGTGCGTGATGTTATATACAGCCAACCATATGTTGTTTCGTGATATATCGAAATTTTGTATGAAATAAATTTGTGTCATGTAGCCTACCAAATCAAGGCACTCTGATAACTTATTCCAGAATTGAATAATTTTGTATTGATCAGAAATGATGACCTGATCGATCAACACTACGAAAGATTGATCCGAATTTGGGAAATTTGTTTAGAACAGCCATTATCTTCAACATCTAAATACGAAGTGGAGCATCCTCATGTTACCATTGCCACTGATGTAGCGTCTTGCCTTTTCCAGGTATAACATGAAAGAATTTTAACTTTAATGATGCCAAAGCCTAGTAGTAACATTTATGCGTAGATAACACAAATGTATATGATATTAATACTAAGATCGAGTATATAATGTCTCATATCGGATAGCATGCTTCTACCGATATTTACTATTAAATAATACGAGACTTTGTTTTAATTTTAATTTTAGAAATACCATAAGTCTGAAATAATGGAGAAGGCTGTTCCAGTTGCTTTCCAATTTCTCCATGAGAATAATCCTTCTCTTATTCGTTTAATAACTGTTCGATTATGCCGAGTAACGATGGATATGCCACGTTTAGTCGCACCTCATAGCCAGGAGATTATTAATATTCTAAAAAAGATAAAAATGCCGGTTTTATGCCGAATTTTGCCACATATCTTTAATAATTGTCCTGATTTAATTTCATCTAACGTAAATATTATTATCCGTCAGCTCTCGAAAGCAGACGTTGTAGAGAAAGTTGCTATTCTGCAGACAATTGGATTGATTGCCAAGCATAAACCGGAGGTTATAAAATGTTTGATTTGAATTCATTTGGCCTTTTATTTGTTTATTAATAAATTTCGTAGAGAAATGATCCTATAAATATAATCTACTGATATAAATATCATTTATATTTACCCTTGGGCACAGGCAGTAAAATCTTATAAAGATGTTTTGCTTCAGTACCTTGATCGCAATGACCTCAGCATATTAGTCTTGGCAATATGCGAAACTCTTGCTCAGCATGAGCCATTAATCTTTTTCGATAATCTTTCGGACATTACGGCAGCGTGTCGGAAAGATCCAACACTTTTTGGCTATGAATTAGGTATAAGGGTGGCGATTGGTTTGAATGATGAGGTACAATGTTTAAAAAACTTTTTTAATTTTCATTATGGACCTTAATAACCCAAAGATTAATGATCTATATATTCTAATTGTGTTAATTTCTGTACGTATTTGCTTAGAAACACGCCAAAAAGATGCTATATAATATGTCACAAATGTTAAGGACTGAAGAAGAAGCAAAATACCCCTTAATTTTGGCGGAAATGAAAAAAATTGGTGATAGGTATCCCCAGCAAATAAGATCTCGATTGTCAACTATAACAAATGTGTCGAATAAAGCTCGCAGCCGTTCTGTTAGAGCATTTATATCCGACCTAGATTTGGAAAATTATACTCAGAATATAAAGAATAGGTATATTGCTCAAACTTTAAATGCCTTCGATTTCTTATCTTTTCCCATTATATTCATTCCAAATACAAAAATATGAGCGAATATTATTGTAATTTGCAATGCTCATGATGAATACCAGAACATTTATAAACCGAAAATTTTGATCTTATTGCCTACTTTAAGTACCGCTGAAGAACCTACTAGTGATGATGTTATGGAAAACAATGAACAGGTAATCAATACAGCGATATTTCGATACGTTAATCTAAATTACCCTAAATATTCAAATATGGTCACTGTTTATAGACATTTGTTCAGCAATTAAATTCCAAAAAAGTTTATACATTTCTAAATTGTTACTTAAGGAGTTTTACTAATTTTTTATATGAAAATACTTTCCCTAAAGTAGCAATAATTATTTTGCTTAACTAGATTCAACAAAGTCGTACTACTCCACCAATAAAGGAAGAGACAAAGAATGTAACGGTTTGAAGCCTAGATTGATATAATGTAACATATGTGGCTACCAATAGCTGTAAAATGTCTATCTTAATATATAGAACAGCACCGAGTTGCCTACTGAAACGGTGCTAAATAGCACTAGTTAGTAAATTAATATCATCTGGTGTGCTAAATTATTAAACGAATTAATTATTACTATATAACTATTGTATATTCTATATCCTTAATCGTCTGCATTGAAGGCCGCGAAGAGCGATGAGATACAAAATGAGAATATGACAAATGGAATTAAAGAAAATGGAGAAATCGAGCATGGAGAGCCTTCTCATAGCATGCGGTCAAGTCTATCCAATGCAAGCTTAAATAGCGTTATTCATGCAAAAGAGCCGAAGATTGCAAGCAATACAGCTCCTGAAGAAGCCAATTCTCTAGATTTAAATTCAATAAAAATTTTCGTTTCCGAAACGGTTCAATCTCTTCCAATTCTTAGAGCTTTCAGCAGATCATGTAAATATCTGTGTAAACATTGTTGATGTTTTAGGAATCTCGTAAAACTTACAGTGATAAGGATATTTTTGAATATATTTTGGATCACAAATCATAAATTATTTAAATTTTGTATTTTCTGTTTATTAAGTTTGTTTAAATTTTTTACTTTACAGCTTATGGAGAGCCGGAAATTATTTTACATTTTAAATGCACTAAAAGAAACCCAGGCTGCATGTTTAATGGCAAACATTTTAGCGTTAAAACCAGCCAAGTAACAGAATGGATGAAGTATTCATTTTGTGCAATGAAGGTAGCCAATCTGATTAATTTATTTAGAATCCATCTGGATAAAGTTATGTTAAGTTGAATCTAACATGTTAATAAATAAGGTTTCAAATCTATTAATCGATTAACTATTATATGATTTATTAATGTTGTAATTTTAAAGGCGGGCAGAGCAAATTGGAAGCAAAATGGGAAAAGCTCTAATGAAGTAATTAAGAATTTTGAGGTTGCAGTAAATGATCCCTTCATTACGGCTCAGGTATACTTGTAATACTACTAGATATTGTTGTTAAGTCAGCCTAATTAATATCATTATTTATTGAATATTATATATAGCAAAGATCATTATATTTCCTTACAATGAGAGATGTCAATATAGTTTACGTCAAAATTTAACGTTTAATAGGAACGACGTGAAATGCGTGAAGAATTAGTAGATAACCGATTCTATGAAGCATTTCAGTTTAATAAGACCAACAAATCTTGGTATTGTTTCATCTGTTCCAATCCTGATAAAGCGGAAGGTAGAAGAATATGGGATTTAATTGCTAGGAATTAAAACTAAAATTAAAGCTAAATTTTGATTTCTGAATGGTTTGAGATTATTCTACGGCTATATCAATGATCACTATTCCTAGTATAAACTTATTCTGACATATACTTTCCTAGTTGGTAATTAACATTAAGTACTAGTATATATACAGCTCTGTAGAGGTAGAAAGATAAGCAGTATGTGGCTTAATTTAATATCTAAGCGTTAGAGGATCATCAAAATTATTACTTTCGGCTTCTTATTATAAAAATATTGCACGTTTTAAATTTGTATCAAATATATTTTTATATTGGACTACCGATAGAGCTCGTACGCGATGGCATTATTTGGTTTGCTGGAAAATTAAGAAAGAAAGGACATAACTTTTCCCATTTCTGGCATGAGCGCTTCTTTACGTTAACTCAAGATTCTTTAGTTAATCGAAAGGAAAATGTAAGTTTTATAAGGGAAAAAGCCTAATAGTAGTAGTGTTGTTAATTAAATGAAAATATATAATTTATATTTCTATAGATTTAAACGAGTCATCAGGCTTCGCTATGAAGAGGCATAAACTTGACGAACTAGTTATTACAAGCAGAGTTGCTAAACGTTTGAATTTTTCTATTTTAGGATGATACCGACGTGAAAACTACTTATTTGAAAGATATCTTGGCTATTAGGCTCGCTGACAATGCAAATGAAGATAATCCAGTGTTTATCGTTAAAACAGAAGAAAAGTCGATGATCCTAAGAGCTGAAGATATGATTATAGCTAACCGTTGGGTATTGGCTGTAAACCTGGCTTCTATTATTGCTCAAAATCAAGCACTTGAACTTGCTCCACGATAATACTTAACTTTAGAATAATAGAAATTAGCACGATTGATTTAATTTTCATAATTATCATTTACCTAAGTTAGCGTAATTTTGGCATTAAATACCCGGTACGATAACCATACATAACGGTAGAATAGTAATTGCTGTGTATATCAATGTTATTAGTTTGTCCATCTAATATATTTTACGCTACTCAACACGCTCAGATTTACTCGCTACTGTAATTAAGAATTTAGTGTTCTATTAATTTCTAATAGGTTATCTTTTATTTCTTTCATTTATGACTGTATACTAACAATGCAGTACACGGTAGTAAATTGACTGTTCAGGGCAACGGAAGTCAGTAGCAATTAGTTACCGTAATCTATGCGATCTAAAAGTTGTAATAATGGACTTGTACAGTATGTCCGAGTATACTAGTAGCAAACTATTGGCAGTCATGATAGTACCTAATAGAGCACTCTTTTTACCACGTATGAATATTTGAGATATGATTCACCCGAAGATATGTTTAAAAGCTAGACTACCGTTAACGGATATCATAACTATGTAATGTAATAACTAGCTAAACTATCAGAATTATTTAAAAATCTAAATAAACTATGAGGTATAAACGAGTGGACAAAGTGTTTGTATTACCACAATTTGCAGGAAGCTCAGGATGTGAAAGTTAGATAGAGTTTAATGCCTTGATAGCGAGATGGTTCCGTGAGTTAATGCTAGTTTTACGGCTTAACGAATCATGCAGTTTATGGGCAATCTCCTATAATTGTAATTACACTACTTCTGACTCGATCTGTGCCAACGTATTTGCAATAATACTAGAAACCAGTTGTGGATAATGTGACAATAATCTTGATTCCAAGAGTGACTGGTCAATACTTTCGTTTGGCTTCAGTTTCTTTGGATCTAGAGGGTATTTATTCCTATGTTTACCACTAATGGATGATGATATATTATAATATCGCAATTTAGGCCTTTTTTTGGTACTTTTACTTTATGGAATCGATATAGTATTACTAATATGGATCATTAAATATGTGTTGATTATACACGTACTGTAGATATGCTAATATGAGCTACTGTAGTAGCATTTTTAAACATAACACATTAAATAAATTCAGATCAATACTCTACTTACAGATTAGCGATTTATTTTATGTACTCAGATCAGGATCGATTCACATTTAATGGAGATCAATTAGTTATCAAGTACGATCATGAATACAAACTGTGACCTTCTCTTTAAATATTCCAACACTGTGCGTATGTTTTATGATTAACGGCAGTAAATAACATTTGTCACATATCTGTAACTGCTAAACGTATCAATCAATTAATTTGTTTATGATTAGCTATACCTGAGCAATAGGCATCTAAATTTGAATGAAATCGCCTATATATTTATATACTGTAGGTTAAAACACCCTTTTAATTTTTTATACTGTACAGTAGGACACCTATATATTGTAAAAGGAATTGCTTCAGAGTAAGCGTTGCAAACTTTTCTAACATTGCTAGTACAGATAGATACTACAGGTGAATTCTTTAAGGATTAATTATTACATTGGATTTATAAGATACAGCGTTACTCGATACCTTATGAAGGTAAATGAGATTCAAATGATTTGATAATTTTGTAGTGAATTGGTGCTATACATTGAGAAATCCTTCATCAAAACGCTTGAATAAAGTAAAGGAAATGACAGCTCCCAACCAAATAAATCCACACGTATCTTGATTGAATACAATAAATTTTCCATTAATAAATCTTGGTAATCTGTACCCTTCAAAAGCGATTTGTCCGCTACCGTGGTAGATAGCTAATGCATGGCGAGGTATGCCATTAATCGATGGTAATAGGTCGTCAGTTAGTAAGAATGGGCCATCTTCAGGATTGGCTATTAGGATAGGATTACTTAAAAATGCTTTGAAAGTGATCTTGCCAGCAGGCACGTTAGGATCGCCTGTTATTTTAGTTCCATTAAGTGTTTGCTCCTTGTACAGGATCCGAATAATTTCTAGTCCATGGACTCCATAAGTACCGGCGTAATATCCAGATCGTAAGTGATTCTTTGATATGTTTGTATCAACATTGCTATGATTGATTGGCGGAAGCCTAGTAAATGTAAATCCATGACTCCATGACAGATAAGTCCAAAATTTTATACCGATAACCTCATTAACGAATGTGTCATTTGTATAATTAGCTCCAAGTTCACCTTGAGCCCACAGTCGATATAATGAGTCGAAGAGAAATTGTAAATCATTGTTTTCTAAAGGAATATGGCGATACTTCGCATCACAATTTAGCTTAAATTTATCAACTAGACCATTTTTAAATATTTTCATATCAATGTTGGCGCGATGGCTTTCACTAAGTAGAGTATGACATTCTACGATACAGTCCTCGTTTTCGGTCGTAGTGATAGCAAAGACTGGTCGACAGACAACGTTAATTTTGTCAGCTGATCGTTCGTCGGGATTTACGACGTATTCTTCACCGAATATTTGACCATCTCGAATTTTAATTGATATAAGCCCTCCATAGCAACCCATTCGACGTAACCAGACTCCTAGAAGAGGCCCATACCTATATAATATCTTGGAATATAATTGATAATACGATGAAACGCCTTTCCAACTTCGGTAATCGTCAACGTTGTATTCATCACGACATCGTTGTAGCCATAAACGATCAACATGAGAGCATTCTCGCATGTAGCGACAGGTTAATGAAACTGAAGGATGACATTCGACCGGAACATGACTTATAATACGGCATATAACCTCTGCCGGCAATGAAATCAAATTAGAGTTTACTGGCGATTCCATATCAACAACTGATGAAAGCAGTTGTAATACTTTGATCGAATTCTTCTCCTGTGATCAATAACTAAAATAAGAACAACAAACAACATGAATGAAATGATGGCCGGTGAGGTCCAGCCCAGTCAGTATGTTTACATACTGTACAGTGCACAGTACTGTACAGTACAGTACAGTAGTTGGCAAAGTTTTCGCATACTGTACAGTACTGTACAGTACAGTATTGCACAGTGTACAGTAGTTACCATACTGTACAGTGTACAGTACTGTCAAAAAGAAATGGCCGAATTTAGAATATCTGTTGGACGTTGCGGAAATTCGTCTTGCGCGAGTACTAAAAGTGCTTAAATTGACAAAATTTTTAAATATGATCGGTGTGTAATAGTTAACATCTCAGTTGAGAGGGGTTAAGCAATGATTTAAACTACCTTTGCTATACTCGTATAGTCAGTCTACTGTACAGTGTACTGTAGACGTACTTATAAAGGCGGACTAGACTAGTGTTCGTTATGAGTTTCCGTCTGTACACTACTGTCCACTTTCCACTGTGTCCAGTAGACAGTACAACACCGGTAGCCCTAAATGTAACAGACAGGATTGGCAATAGTAATACAGTACAGTGTTGTAGAGACTGTCAAGTTTGAGAAGAGTTTATGTACTGTAGTTATCCGCATTCGAGGTCAAATAATCAGTGTGCTCCATTTACGAAATCAGTTTACAGTACTCGTACAGTATGTCAAGGCGGGTAAAACAGCGTCAACGGATAATCATTCCGTCTATCATGGCGATAATCCACTATGTACAGTGTACACAGTGGGCCAGCATATGGTCAAAATATTGTTTTACAAAATTTCTGAAATTGAATCATAATTTCTTCAAGTATTATTGTACAGTATTATATTTTGAATCTACAGTACGGTACAGGATTACGTTCAATCTCATGGTGCAGTGCTAAACAACATGTGATATGTTTCAAGTTTGAAGGCATTGTGTATATGTCATGTCTATCAGTCTATATATATATATCTATAAATAACGTTTAGAGTAACACTGTTGCTTAAAATGCCCAAGTTGTTAGCCAGTAACAGCTTTTGAAGTGAAGAGAACCTTTTCACATCGCAATCTCTCGAGTCTCTAAAATGAGTACCGTCTTGTAGAGTGTACTAGAGATCAAGAAAATCGATCGATTTTCTTCAACGTGATTCACTCCTCTTCTACGGAAACAACCAATTATTAATTCAGTGAATGTATAACATACGATTAATGACCGAATTCAATATCAGATTGTTGATATAGTACGATCTCATTTATTTTCGATGTTAAAATACGCAAAATGTAGTGAATCACGCTGTAGTGTACACTGTACTGTACAGTACACTGTACAGTCTGTACAGTGTACAAGTGTACTGTACATTCAATGCTTTTGTCTCATTTATCGAACCACCTGGTGACCCCTGTACTGTAGCAGTTGACTACAGTACAGTACAGTACATGCGCTGTATGTACTTCTGTCCGTCATCCTTATGAACATTGAACAGGCCTAACTACAGTACAAATGGCTTGGAATGTTGTGTCATTCAGCCAGAAGATGACATCATTGAAGCTAGGATTCAACGTTTACTAGACATCATACTGAGTAGAACTACTTTACTGCAGCGTACATTGCATATTTATTATTGAGAAGTTAATCAAAAGCGATACTATTGCAGGAATATGAACATGGTATTACTTTTCTAAGGGAATAAAGATACGGTAACTGAAAATAATCACGGGATTACTGACTACTGTAGACTGTACTGTATGTATGTATATTTCCAATCTATACTGCTAAAATCACCGTCAGCCAGAAGTAAGCAGCATCTTGTTGATTAACAAACGGCCACGTAAAATTGGTAAGTACCGCTATTTAGCATTGATTGATACGCTATTGCAGCAAATACATGCTATAACTAATTAATCTATCGTTTCCATAGACGACGTTCGTTATAATTAAAATTTTACTGTACTACTCACCTTTACCATGAGAAAGTAGCTGTCAAGACTGGCCGATTTACACGTCGATAAACGTTGACAAACGGTAAGGAAGTACACGTAGAAATTGGTTGTAATATCTGTACTACTCGTATACGTATGTCTTTCCTGGATGCTTTGCTACGATCATGTTTCAAGATGTAGTTATTATGATAATTCATACAGAGTACGCCTATTGTGTCATTTTGTAAGTTGAAAATATTTAGCGATTAAAACGTATCATCAAGAAGAATGAAAAGTTGCTTAAAAGATTAATGTACAGCATGATCGGTTCATAGTATAGGCATAGGCTAGCGAACTCGACGTTGTTCGTAAAGATTCAAGCATGAATACTTTTACACCACAATACTGTATTGCTCATTGTTTAGTTGTCTACGGTTAGTTTGCTGATATTTTTCAATCCTGATTAACTTGCAAGGGATGTCATTACGGTAAGGCTCATTCTTTATATTGCCTGCCACTTAATTTGGATTTCAATTTGCATAAAACCTACAATCATGATGACTTAATTATTGTTAATATCTTACAAGTACAATATTGTATTGTATAGCACTATAGGCCAACGCTACAATGATGCTATTTGTACGCAATCTAAAATTAATTAATTAATACTAGCTTCGAAATGCCTATTGTAAAAAGGATACAGTTCAGTTTTACAGTCCACTCAGGCCTAATTGCCGAACTTAGTACATACAGTACATGTATACTGTACAATACAGTACAGTGTAATCTAATCGAACCTACTGTACAAGCATAATCTAATTTTGGCACGGTATTGCAGATACCTAAACTAACTACCGAGAATGACGAATAGGTAGGGAGATTAATATGTTAATTTTTTCTTTATCACTTTAAAACTACCAACAGTGGATACCGGATGATGGCTATCTCGCAACAACTCAAAAAGTTGTTACATTAATTTACACTTGAACAGTAAACTCGAAAAGGCAATCTACAAGCTTTATAGCAAATAACATAGAATAAATATGCGTACAGTTTTTCGATTTATTCGTAGCTAAGATCTACTTACGTAACGTACGTATGGTGGATTGATTAATTTTGCGTAAAGGATGAAATAACAGTTAATCATAAACAGTTTTTATTATTATTCAGACAGAAATCATCAATCTGTTTTTGGGCATCTATTTTACACGATACTGTAATAAGATGGCGCGACATTGTTCCATTGCTACTTTACCACGTATGAATTGTGCAATACAATGATGACACTGTACTTTACTGCACATACAGTAGTTGATTTAATTCAATCTTATTTTCCTTAATTTGAAGAGTCAAAGGGTACCAGGTAAATACCCAAGACTTGCAATATTTTTAATAATCGTTAAGATTTCTAAAGTTCACTAACGAATTATAGTACCAGACTAGCTATGCCATTTTTGCGGACACACATGTTTATCATCAATCAGACGAAATCATTATAATTATCTACTATTATTAAAATGATTTACAGCCAAGGCCGCATACATTTGATACTTGTTTTTGAGCATACATTACGCTGTCGTACTGTTAAAGGAAATTCATTTTAGGATTTTGAAGAACAATTTGCTGTAATTAATTAATAACATAACATTATTAATAGCGAATTCTTAAATGTATCAATGAATGCTATGGAACTTTTATTAGACTAAATTAATTAATTAAATTCTTGCTTCCTAGGTCAAAATACAGGTTTAGCTGTAAAATTTGATTCTTAAGAAAAATTACGTCCTGCTTGATTGGACTATTTTATTTACTTTAGATCATCGGTATTTCGAAATTTAATTGACGGTAAGGTATTGTGCCTCTCGATGAGGATATAACAGATTTCGCATCTACTAACCAATAAACTCAACCGTACCTGAAGATTATTTGCTAATAAACTATTACGTTATTATTTTATCGTTTTAATCGTTTCCTATAATTTGATAATAATGTACGAGCTAGGCTTCGTTGGATATCAGTTGAACTATAGTCCATTATAGTTAATTAGTTTTAAGGTCGCTTAAAAGATTAATACAAAAACGAATATCCTTTACCTTGTTAGCCTGTTCTGGAATATCTAGCTTATATGTATCCTAATCAGTAAAAACATAAGACTATAGTTAGACCTGACTTCATACACATCATATAATATCGCGGATGTATAGAAATCAATACAGTAAAGCCGTTTTAAACGAGATCTTTCGTGCTTTCGACTTTTCAATTCTGCTAAATTTTAAATAGGATACTTTATGTTTACGTCCTGTTTATCATGATAACTAGGTTAGCAACTCTAATCATAATACTTCTTGCCTTTTTAATAATATACAAATGTAGCTCATTTGGCTTGGATTGATCATGTTTACCGGCCATGGACGTAAACGAATAGTGCCTTTAGTAATTGTAATTATAGCAACGTTGGTAATTATATATCACATCAATCGGTCCAATCTGCAAATTATTTCACACTCGAATCATCATGAAAAAATTGATACACCAAAGCTATTACCTAAAACTGTAACTACTGCTGGGATCATAACGTCTCCTTCTTCTACCACTGCAAAATTTGTTTGCGGTAAAAACGATGTAGTTTGCAGTGATGACGTGGAAGATAGAATTGATTGCTACCCGGTTGGGCTAGCAACAGAGAAAGGATGCAAGGAACGGGGATGTTGTTGGGGAGCTTCAAGCGGCAATGCTGTTCCATCATGCTATTTTCCGGTTAATTACGGATATCAAATTCGTAATCGCACTGAAATAACTAGTAAAGATTTCATTGCAAAGTTACGCCGTTGTGATACTCCTTATTACAGCAGCAAGGCATTAACTGATATCATGGTTACTATCGAACATTATCGTCCAGCAATGCTATCGATTAAGGTAACTTAAGATGTTACGTAGTGAAATAAGATACGTCGTGCTCTTATTACAACGGCGCTCAAAATGTGTCCTTTCTACATATACAATAAAGCATCCTTTATTGTACAATCAGTCACTGATTGATCTTATTGGCCTTATTACGAATTTTAGTTTTATGACCCTCGATATTATCCATCCAATTTCTCGAAACAACCTAGCAATAATTATGGTGCGGGAGACTTTTACATCTATTGTAATCATAACCCGTTTGCATTAAAGGTTATACGAAGGTCGACCGGTAAAGCAATGTGCGTCAGATTAATTATGCATTACAGCGAGGAAGATATGTAGATATATGTAGGAACTATAAATATAGGCTGCATCTTTTTATATGTTATTAAAATATGTATTGCATATTATTGGTCCTTAGGTTTGATACCTCTACAGGTGGATTTATTTTTGAGAATGACTTAGTGCAATTGTCATCTAAGCTAGGATCGAAAGATATCTTTGGGCTAGAGGGTGATTCTCCCTCTGGAAAGATATTTAACTGGAAGACTTGGAAAACGTTTACTCCGAAATTATCTCAAGTAAGCATGGAACCTGTTTGAGTAGTAACCAGTAGTTACATTAAAAAGAAATACTCATATCGCATTGTTTATATTATGAAGGATGCCATCGGTACCGATAAGTTCCATTTCCCAGGATATATTGTCAAAGAGGATAATAATGATTATTATATCGTAGCGCTGCGTGGTCACCAAACTACAAGTAAGATAAAACATTTTGGGTTATCACTTAGTTTACCCGTAATTGCTGTCTTTTATTAATAATAACGTTATGATATATTAATATACTCGAGCGATTAGTAATTTTCATTTGTATGATTGCAGTGTACATAACTTAGTAGATGACCATTTTATACAATCTAGAATTCACTTTGCAACCGAAGCCGTCTATAACAATAATGACAACCAACAAATATAAGCAATTGGAGTTACTTATCTATGCCGGAAATAACCCTATAATAAATTTTTATTCATTTTATTACAACGCAAGCATAACAGACCCTGAAATCGCGAACATAAATCTAATTCCTGCGATGAAGACAAGACTATTAGCTAATATAAATCCAGTAGCACTGAAAGTACTAATACAAAAGTTTCAACCTGCGGAATTAAATCGAACAGCAATGAAAAAAAGTTATGTCAAACTGAAAATGCGATTGCAAAGATGGGCGATGCCGTATAATAACACTTACATTATAATTTCGTGGGTAGCTGGTGTTATGCCTAACGCGTATGATTACATTGCCATATTATGCAAGAAAAAGAGCGAAGCAATTTACCAATCGTGTTATCAGCATTGGCTAAATATGCGTCTCTCCGATAGAATTGTAACGAATTTAGGTTACGACAAGGATTACACTTACTATATCGTGTATTATACATACTCGTGTAATAAAACCAAGGTATGTGGATTTTTAATCAAAGAATTTGAATCATTCAAAACTGTCTCACCTTCATTAACTCCAGAAGATGATGGTTACGGCTATGCCCAAAGACCTCATCCGTTAATCCCTCCGATAGAGGTAAACATGGAAAATACGAAGCGAATTCATAACGTTACACGATATCGGCATAATCCTTACCTAACTGCATCCGGCCAGTATACTTTTAAGTATGGAATTGATAAAAGCTTAACATTTGATCTAAAATGGTTTCGTGGTGATAAGGCATTGACATGGGACTATGTAGCTATTTATCGCCATTATCCAAGGAATGTAAGTAATTATATTCAAGGGCAGTGGTGTTGGGTAGCAAATTATAATAATTCTTGCAATACTGTAGTAGAGTTTGCACGTAATCGACACTATTACGTAGCATATATTACCTACAGCTCCAAAGAAGCAAGATTTATGATAAGTGAAGTAGCTAAATTTCACAATTTTACTAATTGGATGGCTAAATATAAACATTCTTTGCAAAATTTACGACTGCAAGATCTGGTCATTCCTGGAACTTATTGTTCAGCCTGTTATAATATGTCGGCTCCGATGCTGACACCATGGTCGCAAACTCAAACAGAAAATATAGCGAATCAATTACGTGATGGAATACGTTATTTTGATTTACGAGTAAGATATTTGCCATCGTTTAAGACAAAATTTTGGCTTAGTCATAACAAATGGCTTTCGAAAATTTCAGTAACATCATTTCTACACACGATTAAGACATTTGCCGCAAGAAATATAAATGAGGTATTAATCATACATTTTGTAGATTTTTATGATTTTGATGAAGATACGATCCACGATAATCTGTTAGATGTTATATTGGACAAGTTGAAAGGATATGCGATGCCAAAATCCTACGCAGGCAAGGTATTGGCAACGCTTTGGAAAGATAACACACGAATCCTTACATCGTACAATAAAATAAATTGTAGTTCAAAGTATCAAGACAGTGACTTGGTTTGGGGTCCAATACACTCAGTTAAACCAATAATTCTAATTGAAAGAGAAAAGAAACTATTTATCCATTTTAAAGATTATTATCGTACTGATAACAAAAGTCTTTCTATTTCAGAGTTTACAACATTTGATGCAACTAATAACCAAATTCCTTTTAGTATTCAAACTCTAAGTAATAAAATCAATCCTAAAATCGATGATTGGTTATCTAATGAGCTGAACAAAGTTCAGATGAATATCGTTACATCCAATTATTATTTGGGGAATAATATGATTTGTCTTGCAATAAGAAGAAATATAGCCATTGGTAAAAAAATGAAGTTGACTTCTGATGAAATGGATGTTTCGAATTTGTAGCCTTGTTATTTAAACAGAATTGCTACTGAACGCCTGTATTATAGCTTATCATACACAGTAATATACATGCTTACACGATCTGACCTATCTTATGATTTGTAAGTTTGCATCTTATTTATATCAGTGCTGGAATTATTTATGTCTTCATATATTTTATATTTTATTGCCGTTAATTCGATATATCAGGCTATTTCTTTTGTGGAAAACCTTTTCGTAATTTACTATATTCCGGTACTGTTTGTAAAATTTATCGTTTCACCGGTTGTATGATATCTTAAATTGTAGAGCCGCTCTATATGTTTATTGATGTACATTATGTGCATTCTAAAATAAAAATTTAAAAAGGTTAGATTATTTATTGCCTGTTACATACTATGTAAAGACTATTGTAGTTCTAGTTATAAAAATATTAAATACCGTCATTATTAGTGAAAAATTACAATTACGTTGCACTATAAAACCTAAATTAATTGACAAGTACTTCTATTTTTGTTAATCTCTGATGCTTAGATAAAAATATTTCTATAAATCATTTAAACTCCCTCAATATGTGCTTGTAATATAATCTTATCTGATCTACCAATGAGTATCTGCGCTTTACATCTAGTGAGTTTACTAACTTCGATCAATATCGTTTAATCAGTGTTGGCATTAGCCGTATACATATATCTGTATGTGATGGGGAGTTCGATAAGTCAGCTGCAGCGGATTTATTACCACACAGAGAAATATACAATTTTTTTAGTAAGAACAGATAACTTGTTGTATTATAAAATTGCGTACAATATGGTAGTTACGGTAGAGCAGCACGTAAACTGTCGTGAAGTAACGTGGAAAATACTAACATTGTGACTATTGTACCCAACAAATTCTGAGGTAGAAATTGGTGGTATTTATAATTTTAGAAATAGCGCACATGCAGAGAACAAGATCATACATCTCGTATTGAACTATTGTATCGGTTCTGTATTTAGTTGTACACCTTGTAAATTTACAGACTACTTTGTGGGAAATTATCCTTTTATTAGATAATATTGAATATATAATAATGATTAGTGTTTGTAGGCACCAACATTTAGTTTCGTTCACAATTCAATACTTCATTACATACAATTGTTACGGAGTAAAGCACCGTACATGTTAATTAAGTAGATTTCGTTATGTAGCTAATGGCAATACGGTAAAGAGTAACTATGAATATTAGTCGCGTATAGTTTTGCTAGACAATCAAGGTGTAAGCTTGTTCTGAAATTAATTAGTATAATCTTTATAGATACTAATATTGGCGTCACCTTAGCACCCGCCGCGAAGTTCCGGTAACGTGCGAATAGCGTGCTGAGCCTCGTTCGTTTAATCGGCTATTTATTGACAAGAAGTTGACAAACTATGTAATAATCATAATGAAAGCGCTTTATTTACGAAATTCATTAATAACTTTAAAACTCGTGTCACAGCATGTTTATATATAGATTTAAAACAGCGTACTACAGTAACTGTTGTCATATTTTCTTAGTGATTACAGTATATTACCGTTACTAGAAAAACAATGTTCAGAGGCGAGTCAGAGGACTGAAGTTGCCAGAGTACATAGCCACTTATGTTAGTCTTTAGTGAATGCATGCACTCAAAAACAATACATACTGAGTTGTCATAGGGACAAATATCATATTCCCGGCATGGAATTTGTGCAGACTTACCCTTTCTTAGTAATTGCATTGCCGCTAGTTGAAAAGCAATGTTCGGCGGGGAGCAGCATTTCGTGAAATGGTCACGCTGTACGCTGGAGGAGAGCCAAGGGACTGAAGTTGCCACAGCACATAATCACTAGGTCTTAGTGGATACATGCACTCAGAGCAATGCAATATTGGGTTGCAGGGCAAATATCATATCCCGGACATAGGAACTGTCTGAACTTACCCTTTTCTTAGTGATTTCTATATATTATCGCTAATCGAAAAACTGCGCAAATCACAGCCGCTCAATCAGGGGGAACTAATGTCGCTAGAGCACATACAGTAGATACTTAATCTTAAAGTTACGTTCATACGATCAAAATGAGTTCAGAAAGAGAACGTCAGATTCTCGTTCTGGTTGTACTGTACGTCAACACTCGCATCTCAGTAATTTACTACAACGAATATTATAACGAGACACAACCACATCGACAAAAATTTGCTAAAATATAAATTTTTATATTTTCATCGATACATCGATGGATGTCTCGTTAGGCCGGGACTGGACCAAAATACAACGAGAAATACCCGTTTGCATTCGATCGTATGAACGAATTTTAATCCGAGGTAACTAAAGTTGCCAGAGCACGTAGGCACTTAGTCGGATGGTGTCAGGGACTTTCTAGAAGACTTTTAGAAGTCCCTGGACGTTCCTGATAGTAGACGGTACTGTAGACCACGACTAGCGCATATAACGTGATCCCATACATTCGTTATTACAGTTTTTGCATCAATTGTACGAAATTGACCGCAAATGCATGGCTTTAATATGTAGCAGGTAATTTTCTATAATAAGAGACCTATGTATATACTCCTTTCGCCGTTAATTACTGCATGTCTCACTCTCTCCAGAGAAAGTACAGTTTGAAGTCACTTCGTTACATCAACATACAATCACGTAAGCTCCATGTACCATGATAGATATGATGAACAAAAATGCTACAAAGATATTGATCATGTGAGAATAACTGTATTAAGAAATAAAATAGACTAAATTTATATTAAAAATCGAAAATAAATCTTAATTTTAGCTAATACGTAAAGTCACATTATTGTCGTAATTTGGTATTATTTACAGAATATGTACAGTACTACATAAGATAGGATAACTGTATTGGTACGTGTTATCGTAAAAGAACTATATCCAGTCAATTGAACTAACTTATCTGTAATCAACCCGTAGCCGAAAGACTACATACTTATAACTGAGCACATCGTGCTATCGGTTATTCAAGGATTTTAGTGTCAAGAGATACTCGCTAAGGTAGCGAAGTTCTTGAGATATCAATTGTAAAGAACATTAGTCGTATATAAACTCTTACCTTGCTAAGAGTAATTCTAATTCTATTTGGATAGAAGTTAATAAATTTAACTTGTGGAGATTACACAAGTATTACTTCATCTGAGTCTTTACCGGAGTAACTTGACGTCAAGTCACATATACATATATCCATCAAGGGCTACATTTACAGCAATTATGACAAATATAGGTACTGCATATGATAAATATGAACATTCCAAGCATATATTATTTTGTGATATTACTACTAGACATAATTATAATCATCACTTATTAAAAAATGGATGATATGCATAAATTCAGAAAACTTTTCACTTTGCAAGCTAATATTAAAGCCAGTAATTATTTGCTCATTTAACCGTATCTAGACATCACTTAAAGTGAACTTAGACTAAATTATATGTTTGCACTACAAATTTTGCATTTAATACATTGTATTTCTTAAAATTATACATTGCACATTAATTTTGAAATACTATTTATCATAAAAGAATCCGTAGAAGCTGGCATACTATTCGACATGACGTTACTTTGATAATTCAAAATAGTTATTGTAAAATGTTATGAAGACGATGTTGTAATATTTACAGGTGTAGATATAGCAAAACTTAACAACTTATTTGCTCAAATTACTGTACATATTACCACAAATAAATCATTTTATTATTTAACTTTAAAGCCAATACACTGTAGTATAAAGGAATACTTCTGGCAGTGAAGCAAGCTTCTGTTTTATTATTTGTATAGTCTGTAGTGCCAGTATCTATTAAATATTATTCACATATGAAGGAATCAATTTATGAGAATCGCATTATAATTCATTGATCGCCTACTCAGATTTCATCAGTAATCCATTCGACCACGTTACAAGTTATCTATCTATTTTCCGATCGATAGGTTGCACTAGTACTATATAACAACGATTAGTAGCAATATTGGCGTCTCTCGCCTAATATATAGCTACAGTAGGTGAAATCTAAGCAAGGGTACATGCTTGCTCGATTCATATCCTCTAAAGTTATGATATTATTCTATACTGTTAATGCATAAGGTATTATAAAATCCGACGAGTCTTGAAGTACTGTAGTTGTTCGCATACCTGGTGCTACAATAAAATTCTAAATGAAAATAAGGAACGAAAAGCACTTAGACATTACTTAGGTCTCCTTCTAATCTATGACAGAGTTGAATACTGTGCATTCTTCATTCCATGTTCTAACTTAAATTTTGATTTCTGAATTTCTTGAACATAATTTTCTTTCCACTTCTATTAACGTCAATCTAACTCAGGTAAATTGCTCTCTAAATACCGCAATATCTACGTAGTTACGATTCCAGCAGAATCTAGCTCTTCAACATATATTATAGCAAATATATCAATAACAATAGCAAAATAAACGATTTTATCATTAATCGATGAATTTATAATTGACTGTTACGGCTATTGGACTCACTGTATTCGGAAATGATATTAACAATTGTAAGAGATTGAATATAAAGCTTATGCCATAGGAAATGATTACAAAATGTGACCAAGAGCAAAGAAGTTCTTATCTGACTAATTCATAATAAGTAACTGATAATTTATATGTTCGCGAAAATGAATAGTGCTTAAATCGATTACTGCTTTTGAATTAATCAAAATAGAGACGTTGACAGTAAAGGCATGGCTCATAATTGACAAATACGATGTTGTGAAAATACTGGCTGTGATTTAAATAATAGTAACCTTGGTGAGGATTTAAATTGTAGCAATCAACAACATCATCGTCACATACGCATAAAATGGTTTTATTTTATGTTAGCAAATAGATTATAATTATTAGAATATTTTAAGATGAAACGTAAAACCTTCTAATGATCAAGTCGAGCAAGTTGCCTCCCTAATTTACTAATTAAGCGTCATAAAATTAATGACCGATAATATAATTAGTTAAGGCGGCTAAATAAGGAATATTGCTGTCTCAGTTTATATTCGTCGATATAAACTAAGAGAAATAGAAGAAGAAGACACGGCATCTAATTCTGTGATACAATCAGATTGATATTTTTAGATAATAACTGAGCATACGGTAATGAATTGAATAAGTTTAGCCAGATCATTCGGTTCTTTTTCATGTGTATGGAACCTTTCAATAAGATAGATAAACTAAAAATCAATATCATAAGGTTTCTACAGAGTTCTTTTATTTTATTCAGGTATTGACTTTTATAGCTGCACCTAATTAGATTAAAGTTGATTAATTGGCTTCAATATTGATCTAAAAAGATTCAAGAAAGCAAAAAGGATCATTAATACAGCATGACGTCAGTAAGATTTGACTTTGTTTGTTAGATCTGTTATAGCACGAAAAGTCCTTCACTTGGCTAAATTTGATATCCATTTCAATAAAACAGTTTAAAAATGACTGAATCAAAACTAAAGCTGTCGCCGATAGCCGCATTCAATATGTCAGTGACTATCAGAATCGAAAACGACCTGTCAGTAATATTAATATCATGGATATTTGGCCTAGCGGGTATCATTGCTAATATGGTTTTACTTAAGTTTTTACATTCTCCAACTCTACAGCGTGTTCGAGCTATTATTTCTCGTTCAATATATCGTCACGGGCAGTTATTGCGTTTTAATCAAACTGTTAAGCCAACTAAAACAACCATTAATCGAACATTTACGATTCTACTTATTAATCTCGCTGGCTCTGATTTGCTCGGGTCAATGTATTTGATAATTATTGCTTCAGCCGATCTCCATCACAGATTAGCTCATGATAAACACAATCAGACTCATTTTACAGATTCTTCAGTCAGTTATTTAAATTGGATTAGTAATCCATTTTGCTATATAGCAAGATTTATAAATTGTGTATCTATTTTTCAATCCGCTTATATCATGATGCTTGTTGCCATCGATCGTTACATTAGCGTTGCTTATCCATTCTCAGCAATCTTGAAATTAACACAAAGACGAGCGAAGTTCCTATGTTTATTGGGATGGTTAATAGCGATGAGTGTTGGTACAACATTTACTGTAGCTGCTTATATTACATTTCCTCCAGCCCCTGCGCCTAGTTATGATTACCATAACTTGTGCAGTTTCGAGGACTATGCAGATTACGAAGTGAGGTTATTGGTATTGCTATTTTTAATAATTGGTATACTTGTCTACACAGTCATATTGGTGGTTTATGCTGGAATATATTATAAAATTCGACAAAGGTCGATAAGCATACATCCTAATCACAAATTTGGGAGTAAACGAGCTGAATGGAAAATTTTAAAAATTGCTATGATAATCGTCTCAACAAATTTTTTCTTTTGGTTTCCTGGTTTTATCTGTGGCATAGTTGCTTATATCTATCATCCTATATTTCTTGTGAATAATCTATTTCGAAATGCTGCTACGAATTCACTCTTGTTATTTCAAATCAATTGTGTTTTAAATCCTATTACGTTGATAACATTTACGACGGAATTAAACCTTTGCCATTCCTGTAGGCTACTTGGCAATTGTAAAAATAATCATTCGTATAAATAGTAGCTTAGCGCTGTCAGTTTGCTTATCACAGTGACTCTTCTCTTTATGAAAGAAAGTGAGAAAATCCTACGTATTTTAACAGAAAATTTGATGTAAGGATTGACATGTGAATTACTAGCATTAACTTATGATGTAATGCAGTCTTTGTTGGACTATTTTATATCCAAAAATTACTAGATATTTGGCGTTTGGTTTATTTACTTGTAGTCAATTTAATGAATGATCAGGTATTTTTCACTCCATAACTTATGATTTAGAATAATCCAGTATTAATAAAAGTGAAAATTAGAGTAAAGCATTTTTTTTATGCATTAATTGTTAATAGGTGGCTATATTAGAATTATTTCTTTTAATTAATTATAGTTACAATTAATATTGAGTAGCTATTTTAGCAGTACAGCGATCAATTAAATATGTTCGCTATTATATTGGATGCCAATATTTGCATATCTCTTGATGTGACTAGATATTTTTATAACGTATCGTATCAAATCTTTAGTTGTGATCTCAACAAGAATTGTTAAATAGTTTTATTTAAAGTTTTATCTTATATCAATGGAATATAAATTTATGAAATCTAATCATAGTGAAGGTTATTTATTGTAAAGCGGAAAACTATATCTTATTCTATCTAAGTTGACTAATTCACAATAAAGTTAGACCAACGAAAACTTAAGGTGAAAATCTGCTTTGTTACAGTATTTAAAATTGAAGGCTCGTATAAGCTAGTATATAATAATGTCAGGATTGCAATTTTTCCACCTCACGCTCCATTATAGTTATAATAATATGGTATTTATGTACGATGATTTATAGCCGTTATTATACTGATTGTGAAATATCTTAACAAATAGCTTAGTCCGCACTAAATTGATGATTTTTCAGCCGGCTAGCCGATTTTTATTCAAGTACTATAGGGTTAAAAAGAGAGTTAAGGACATATGCTGATAGTAATCCAAAATATTTTGGTGATGGGTGTATTAATCAGATTGGTTGGAGATGCAACATTCATTTAGTTAATGAAGCTCAAATGCAGCAGCATCATACATTAAAATATAGAGGGTTTCTGCGCTACATTTGTACTAAAGAGGAAACAGTCTAATAACGTTTGCTAGTTCCTTAATAATTCTGCTATTTTAGAGCTGCAAATAAAAATAGAATTTTAAAGAAAATAAATATGATTATTTACCCCATTAACATTTTATTTTCGCTTTTATAACTTTACATCTGATTATAGCTATTTCAAATTGGCAAATAAAAGCATAGCTGTATTTGTTATTTTGTCTTAATTTCCATGCCGATATCGCTATTAATATTCATGCCAAGGGCGATAGTAGACTTCAAACCTACTTCTTTTGGTGTAATCATGGTTTAGAATTTTATGGTGATATTCCTTACGACTTATGTTTAAATTTTGAGCATGTAATAATTTTGATGTTGTCTGAATCACTTTGGACTTTAGTGCCATGACAAAAACCATTAGAAAAGAGTGTGATATTATTCCAATAAAATTTTTGGTTTTTGTGTTGATCCTAGCAAATGTGAAATACAATACATTTAACCATCAGTGAATTATAAGCACGAATACCGATATTTAGCAATAGATTTTACATGATAATATTTTAAACTTTGAGCAATTGTTATACAGTACGCATGTATTATGTATGATCCAATGTAAGAATCGCTTCCTATTATAGTTTATACGATATTCATTAATTTATTATTTTATTGCAATATTTTTATTTTACATATAATTATTTGTGCGTTATTAATTAAAATAGTTGCTTATATTATTGTTGTAGCATTGAAGTAACACTTGAAAAATACAAATCATATATAATAAATTCAATACTATAAGATAAAATAATGCAGAGCAATAATACTGAATTAGGGGTGCTAAGGTAAGCAGTTTTTAGAATATGAATATTATGAATAGAATAATTGCATTTAAACCTATTTTATTTTGCTCTTCAAGGCAGTTGGCTTCATAAAATATATAAGTTTACCTTGATGGAAGGGTTATGGCATCAATTCTTTATAATAACCCGATAGCTATCACTTTGACATGGTGTTTTGGCGTTTGTGGCATAATCGCTAATTACTACGTCTTTAAGATTATTTTGGCTCTAAAGAAACGTAGCAATCGCACTATCTTTTCTAAAGTAAGCTCTGATCATAGCCGGCAATCAGAAATTACGAGTAACCAATTTACAGCCAGATACGTTGGCAATCGAACATTTATTATCCTGATAGCCAATCTAGCTGCCTCCGATTTAGCTGGCTCATTATATTTACTTATTTTAGCAGTAGCTGATCTTCGCTATCGGTTTATGCAAATTAATCCTTACAATAATGGTAGTATGGCAGAGTCACTAATCAATTCATCGAATATTTATCACGATTGGATCGGCAATCCATTCTGTTTTACAGCTAGGTATCTAAATGTTTTATCTTCATTTCAATCTGTCTTCATCATTACGATTATTGCCGTTGATCGCTATGTTAGCGTAGCATTTCCATTTTCGAACAACTTAGAAATAACTCCTAAGAAAGCAAAAATGATTTCCATTGGTGGTTGGAGCATTGGAATTGCCACTGCAAGTATGTTTACGGCGTTTTCCTATATAACTTTTCCACCCGCTAAGTCAATTAGTTATCGGTTTAGCAATTTATGTACATTTGCAGATGTATCCGTTAATTTCGTTAGATTTTCACTGTTACTTTTGAGCGTAATCGGGTTTATTTGTTATATTTTTACATTATCCTTATATATGGGGACATATCTTAAACTACGGCATATAGCAGCCAAAATTAAAGCTAGCAAGACCTTCAACCAAAACGTTGAAAGGAAAACGTTAAAAATTGCCGCCACTATTAGTATTACTAATCTTGTGGCTTGGTTTCCTTCGCTTGCTTGTGGTACAGCAATATTTATTAATTATCGTTTATCTATCGACAATATTCGTTTTCTGGATACCGCACCGAATGTCTTGCTATTATTTCAAGTTAACTGCACAATTAATCCCATTATTTACATCTTTAATATCTCTCAAAATCTGTCAAACTATAAGCGTAAGTTGTTCTGGACTCGGACTTGAGGTTCTCTTAAAATCTGTCTAATTGCTTTGACGTAGCGAATCACTTTTTCTGGGTCTAAGGTAATATTTGACGGCTTATAAAATTTATTTGCTATGAAGCAGGTATGATTATTGAGATCATAGATATCATATATTATTTATAAGAAATTAACCATAATACCTGCGCTGCTTGGAATAGGTAAAGATAGAAGATATTTCCCTACAAGATGCAAAACTATTTCTTTTAATAATATTAGAATATGAATTATTTTATGGAAGCTACGTATATTTTAATTCTTCTGAGTGTACTCTGTAATCGTATACGAAATGAATGTTCACACTCTTATGTTTAAAATTCTTAAGCTGATTTACTATCAAGATATTAAACCTTAAAATGGATAAGATGTAGATTTAAATTCGAATCAAGAATATTGAACGATAACATCTAATCGCAAATAATTCTTCTTAACATTCATTTTCACCTAATGTGTTGCACTTGCATAGAAGTCGTAACGTAAGTTATGGGCATTATTACGCACTATTAAAATCTAGAAACCTATCTATTATTGCAAGATCTTATTAACTGTCTTTCGATTTAAGACAAAGCAATGTTGCATTCGTTGAATTTAGTATGTGACAGGTGCAAGGCCTTAATGGACTTTCTAACAATTTTTTATAAGTTAGCACTACGACAGGATTGGATAATGAAGATTAAAGTGTTGAATTAGTGATCAACTTTCACTTTTTTATTGCCAGACCATGATAAACTTTCGAAAAGTCTCATTATTACACTATTTGATAGTACAATTTGACGGAAACAGTTTGTTTATAATGTCAGTTCTGTACCAATGAGAATTGGACTGGCCATAGGATTATCGCAAATCAGCATTTTAAATAAGGAAAATAGGGGCTAGATTTCATTGGATTGAAAGTTTTCCATCTTATTATTTTAATTTACCTCAAATGGATATATTTACGGTAATTTACTATTTATCACAAATTATTGCTAAAATATTCATCCCATTCCTTTTTGCTACTTTCTATTTCGTTATGAAATAAAATATTATTATCACAATGTTTTGCGAAACAATTGTAATCTATGCGTATGCAAGCTTTATTCTTGCCACCCTTTTAAGCAATAAGTATCGAGATACAGTAATTAATAATGATTAGTCTTGTAGATCCGTCAATAAATCCAAATTGTTTAGTTAGGAAAAACTAAAAGTTGCTGTCGAGCAATTAAACATAAATTAAACCAAAACTGATGTACTACCAACGAGCAAAAAGATCAAATCTAAAATCGAATTTCATCAATAACTTTACGATCTTCCTAGCTCTCTCCCTCTAATCGTAGTTTGTACTGTCTTAAATACCGTTGATTTGATGGAGTTATATTCAAGTAAAAATTAATAATTTAAGACAAGTACACTGTATAAAGAACTACGTCTAAATCTTAATAATTAATACTAACGTTAGTCATTGCATCAGCAATAAATATCACATCATAGCAGTATGAAATACAAGTTACACATTTTTTTTCTAAAGGTAAATTAGTGAGGAGATAGATAAGCCATATTGGAAATTGTCTCTAGGATTATACATTGCTTAAATCTTAAGAATAGAGGGAGGAATACTTTTGTATATGCACCATAATAGCTGTTTACGGAAGACCATTCCAATACCTATCTTAGACACGGTAATTAAAATTTAATATTCTTTTCAGATCGTCCAATGTAAAGTGTATTAATATTATATCGTGTAGATGATATGACTATGCTCGATCCATAATGAATACTTTAATGATTTCGCTTACGCTTATATCATTCAGAGTTTTACTAAATTAAACTCAGCAAAAAAATTAAAGTTTCTTTGTAGCTATCTAAGATTTTAGTAAATACTGTATTATGTCAATAACAGAGAAATGAATATACTTTCATTTTATCTTAGTAGCAATTTGCACTCTGCCTCAGCATAAACAAATCTTAACTTCAGAAATTACCAGACTAATTTTTATATCTTTAAGGATGTTGTGAAGTTATAGTGTAAGAACTTGAATATGATGTATAGTATACTTTATTATCATTTACGATATCTTCACGAAAGTTATTTTGGAGTAGAATTCAAAGATTATTAAACCTACGCGTAATTATATTAATAGTTATTGTAGTTTACATGTAAACATAAATTAGCGAAACTATAAAAGTTAGCGCGTAACTTGTTTAGTTATTCATTGCTACTCCCTGCTTTAAAGGCACATTATATATTTTACAGTGCTTCGTATTACTGATTCTGCCGTTTGTTTTATAATTCTCGATATTCTATCTCATTTGTGTAGATTCCAAAAATAGAATAAACCTCGCATACATAGATCTGCTTTGAAATGTGATTTTGGATAGAAACCTTTCGTGCACTAGATTTACAATATTATGCGGATATAGTAAATAGTAGAATTGGAAATGAATAATTTTTTGATGAAGGCAGCTACGACAATTTCAATGGAAATGAGGCTATCATAAGTGCATGATAAAGGTTTTGTAAGAATAGCCGCCCAAACATAGTACATCGATATAGCCACATGGATGTAATACCATACATTGTTAAATATATCATCTCTAGATACTACTACCACAGCTACTACTACCACTACCATAACACTTATATTTCCATTTATACTTTATTATGTTGACATAATCTAGTATACAAACAGCATAAGAAAAATAGCAAAGGTACAAAGAGACCGTGTAGTAAAGACTCTTTTAAATTGTTATAAGTAAATATATTAATATGAAAATTAGCTAGTAAATAAATCAAGTGGAGAGAAAAGTAGTGATCAAGCAACAAATAAGACAATAATATAAATAGTATAAGATTAAAAGTTCACACAGTTTACGAAGCTTAGAGTGACGCTCTATCATTTCAGAAAGTAAGAATTGTATTAGATAGTTTACGAAAAACGTAGAACTGTGGCCGTCGTAACCGTAAAATTTAACATTCAAACTAAATATATAAAGTAGAAAATAAATAGGTGTAATTTAAAAATAGGTTTACTGAAGTGTTAATTATCAAAGCAGGTGCAAACTATCATTATACCAGCACAAAGTTACCTAATATCCATTAAAAATCCTATACTATCCGCCAATAAACAGCCTTGGAACGAGAATAAACCAGCCTGATATCATAATTAAAAATATAAGGGGATTAATTGCAGGATTTGCTTTAAAAATAACGTTGTGGCAAATATGCAAAAGGTTGATTCACTTAAAGCACTTTCGTAGTAAATGAAAGTGGTGATAGCTGCAGAAATAGCTGGAAACCAGATAAGAAAATTACGTAATCTAATAAAGATAGCGAATTTTAGTACCTTCCTTTCAATAAAGTTGCTTCTTCTGTTTATAATTAGGTTCATTCGAATCCGTTGTAATTTATGAAAGTTTAATGTATAAATAACTAGAATAGCTAGATAAAATGGGGAGCTGCTAAATGACATGATAAACAGGCTTAAACGAACATAAATAAGTGCCAATACTATCGTAACCACATAAGTTATAATAATATGAGTAAGATGTCAAATATCTTGGAATAGTAAATACGCATAAAGGTTAAATACGCCAGCTATAAGAAATGTAATGAACTAGCCTTTGACGATTAGTATTGAAAGGCGTTTTATTGTCAGTATTGCTTTAGCCGAAAAAGGATGAGTTATTTTAAGATATCTATCTATAGCAATGAGTATTATAAGATAGATTGATTGAAATGTAGCAATTATATTGCAACCTCTGGTGATATAGCAGAATGGGCTACACAGCCAAAAGGTAAATGTATTATTACCATTTCGAATTGTAGCGTTATTATGAGCAGATGGTTCAATCCGATAATGTAAATCAGCGTAAGCGATAATTAGAAAGTATGTCGCTCCTAAAATATCAGAACAAGCTAAGTTTAATAGGAGAACAATAAATTGTCGATTCCTAATGATTGAGTTTATCTTTAATTTAGAACTTGACTGCTTTTTGAATATGAGCATCCTTTTAGATTTGTTAAAGTAGGATACGATAAAGAAAACGACATATAAATTTCCCAAAATACCACTTAAACTTAGTATTCAAGACACTCCAATGGCGAAGTATATTATGTAGGTGTAGTGTATTTAGAATATACTGTAACTATATTCTACTCTTAATATAACATGCTGTATTGCTCTTATATTTAGACAGATCTACAGTCCGCTTACTCTACATTCATATATAGACTACTGTATATAGTTATTACGGTACTCGTTGTTTTCTACAACCATCTGCTATTTTGTAACCTGTTATGGTATATGTCGTATCTAATTCCACAATCCTATTCTCTGCATGTGCTCTATCTTTAAAACTATAAATACCGGTGATTTCTATCTCAGAGTTCGTTAGCCTCTCAGTTAGTCTTCTAGTTAGTCTCTCACAGTCTGATACTTCTACTCGTTACTCACGACAGCTTGCACGCTGATCTACCGTAACTGCCTCGCTGTACTTCACATTACTAACCTACAATAAAGCATAACTTTTATAAACCCTTTGTTGTAGTAATTGTAAATGGCGACTAAATCTCAATCCTCTGAGATATCAAACCCTCCATCACAGTAGGCATACTATGTATGCATGTATTAATTAAACGCGTAAAAGATACTACATTCATACCAATTTTAAATGCAGCCTAAATCCTTTTAAATTCTAGGTCTTATTGTTAAACTAATCTGCCTTTAATATCATTTGAAAAATTTTTATGTACAGAGTTATCGCGATAGAAAATTTTATTTAAACTTAGAAGTTATAGTTCCAGATTTAATGTTATCACGGCGATTAATACGCTGATTAAACTATGTTCTTTGGAGCTACCATTTCTTGATTAAACTTTTCCTAAATTAAGAATTTCTAATACTGCAAGAACGGCCATCAGCTGAAGTTACAATTAAGGAGATCGTAAGTATCTGTAAAATAAAAGTACTGTAACGCTGTATATGAACGGGACCGATTTCGCCT